GGCAACCTTATGCATTGGTTAACCACCGTTCACCGATTAAAATACCACATTCTTATTCATGGGCTAATCACCATTTATTTTTTACCAAACCCTACAGCTCTTTCATTGGTTAATCACCATTTATCAGTTAAAATACCACACTTTCATTCTTAGGTTAATCACCACTTCTTGGTTAACATACCCTCATTCATGGTTAATCATCGTTTATCAGTTAAAATACCCCATTCTTGGTTTAGACACTACATTTTGGTTCAGATACACCTACCCTATGGATCCAACAACACAACTTTTGGTCCAACTAGTACTTTCACCACAACTCAACAATACTTACCTCATTTCGAAACTCTTTTTTAATTCAACTCAACTCTCTTTTAATTCAATTTAAGAAACTCTTTCTTTTTTCTTTTATCACATAAACTTTTTTCAAAAAAATAATTTTCTTTCTTTTCATAAAAGAACTATTATAGTCTGTTCCTTAGCAGCCAGACTAAAAGCTTGGAGCATCCAAACTAGGATCAAAACCAGCTAATGCCTAGACACTTTTAGGATATGATTATAACCGTTCCTTAAAATCAACTAAAAAATCTGTATTTTCTACCATGAACTACGAAACTCTGATTTTCTCATTGCACTATGAGAAAACGTAGGCACATGATTTTGAAATCTTGGCGAGCACATTAATTTAAAACCTATTTTTCCTCTTTCTCAAGTAACCTTTAGATAGTAACATCCATTCACAGAAAGAACAATCAAAAGGGTTCCTGTTGAGTACAACAGATGTGATGGATGCTAATACCTTCTCCTTCCACAACTGACCCCCTACCCGTTTCTCTTTCCCCTGGGTTTTATCGATATTTTCCCTTTCTTTTTGGAATAAATAAAGTTTAGTGGCAACTCTGTTGTATCTTCAAGTGTGCGATGCCCTCGAGTACTTTTTGCGCTGCAAAAAAGCTCATCCATTAATATTATACATTCAAGATTCATCTTCTATGTTCATCCATCATCAAAAATATTCATCAAGCTTGAAAATTAATTGGATTAATATTCTTGAAGTTTTTCGTATTTCTTTTCGACACTCTAATTCTAAAAAATAACAGGGGCAAACCTTTGCTTCGTCGGTAATCCTTCATTTCTTTCACACCCTTGACATGAATTATGGGATATTTGCTTGTCGATTAATTTAAGTCACTGTTATGAATTAGTTTATTAGAATATTCACTTATTTTGATATAGAACATATAAACTTGAAAATAGTGATTTTTTAATTCTTAACCATTAATAACATGCGAATACATCATTAGAAGCGATTTTTCGTCACGATTCTGAATATGTGGTTATTTTTTCATAAATCATTATAACGAATGTGAATCAACCATTTATTTACACTTTATTTTTCACCTTTTCACCTGATTCATCAAAATTCGTGGTTCATTTGTAAAATTCGATTGCATATTTGATTTCTTATGAAAAATTGAGTTCGGTGACATATACTTTGCATATTAATTCTTTGATTTGGGAATTTTAGTGGATTTAATTCTTGAATGTATGGAGAAATAATGAACAAATGAAGAAGATGCATAAGCCATAGTACGCTGATACGTGTCCCTGCCTTTTTTCTTTTTCCCCTTTTTTGGACAGTGCCATGTGGCATAGTATGATTGGTTGTGCATAAATAGATAAGACAAAACACGCTAGAGGACAAAACACAGAGTGATTATGTGCTGCATGTGTAGCGCGCGCCCCTATTATTGATAACCATCATATCTAATGTCAGTTCCATCCAGCGGTTCACCTCAATTCCTCCGTGTTGACCCTTTAATGAATTGTTGACTATGTTTTTTGGTAGCTTTCTGGGATTTTTTTGTGGTGCCCTGATGGGCCTTTTGCTTTGCATCCCCCTTCAAATTAGTAATGCCCCTCGGGAAGCTTTACATTTATTTTTTATTTTTATTATTGACTTATTTTTTTCTTTTAATCTTTTTTCCTAACATATTAAAATAGATATTTTAGATATACATGATTTATTAGACTTTTTTTATTGGATTAAGTTTTGTTAGAATTTAATTTCTAATTTTAATTAATTAGAATTAACTTTTAATTGAGTTTAATTGCTAATTTCTTTTTTAATTTTATTTTATGGTTAATTAGAAATTAGAGTTGACATGATTATTTTCAATTCTTAATACCAGTGTTTCTCCCATAATTCCATGTGCTTAATATGTATTTTTAGCATGACCATATTCTTGATTAGTTGATCAAGTTTAATCTTGACTAATTAATTACATTTGATTTAGCCTTTTGCTGTATGACTTTCATGATCAACATTTGCATGAAAACATGGTGTTTTACCCCATCCACATCCATTTTCTTATCTATTCAAGACTAAAATCTTTTTGCAAATAAATTCAATAACAATTAAAAATACGACGCATATTATACGCCACAAGTCTTAAGCAACGAAGAAGAATGAGAGGGATTATTCATATCCTTGTTCTGAGTATTTTTGAATACGAGACGTAGCCCCCAGTTATTTAAAGTATTCGCCTTCGTTCATAGACTTTAGTGCAATTCAAATCAAGAAATTCTTTTCAAATTTTAAATCAATCTCAATCAATCAAATTCATTTTTTTTTTGCCTTGGGGTATTCAAAACTTTTTCACAAAAGACATGTTATTTCTGTTCTACCATAATATAACAATGCTTAAGCCTCTCACGCTTGAGCATACAAGCAACATTTAACTACTAAAATGTGATTCAAGTGCATCCATTATACCGCAAACAAACAAATGTTTAAGTCTCCCATGCGCGAACGTACAAGAAACATTTTATTGCTAGAACACGAACGTTAATATCAATATCGTCCAATAAAAACAACCAACAAATACTTATTTTCAACCATGAACTATAAAGCTCTGATTTTTTCATTGCAATATGGAAATACGTAGGCACATGATTTTGAAATCTTGACGAGCACGTTAATTAAAAACTTATTTTCCCCTTAATTAAAACCAATTGCAAGTAACCTTTAGATAATAACACTTGTCCATGCAAAGAACAATCAACGGTTCCCGTTGAGTACAACATATGTGAGAGGTACAAATACCTTTCCCTTGCATAGCCGACTTCCAAACTCGAATTTGACTGCGACGACCATCTTTAAGGGTTTATCGATATTCTCTCTTTTCTTTGGAATAACTAAAGTTCGGCAACTACTCTGTATTTTTTACATAGCGACAAAGAGAAAAGAGGAATGTATGAAGAAGTATGAGCAAAAAGAGTGATTTCGCCACTAAAAAAATCGCGGGTGCAAACTGACGATCGTGGCCACGATCTAGTCCTATCATGGTGTTATACATTTAATCACGACCACTACATGAACATTACAAAAAGTAGCTGTTTGAAAAAAGGACCATTGGATAGATGCGTTAGCATCGTGGGTGCGATGCACAAAATCGTGGCCGCAATGATAGCCTGAAAAGCGAATATAAATAGGACTAACGGCATTTCTTCCGTACAACACATGATCAGTTCCTTTCTACTCCTTCTTTTACTATATTTTCTCTAACAAAGCTCACATTCATCTTATTATTTCTCTACAAATTATATTTTTTTGTTATTTCTTTCTATCAGTATTCCTCCTTAGCACAACAGTGTATCTGGTACATCTACTTCATATGCCCCGCCAACGAAGAATGAAGCTACATACCCGACTCACAAAATTCACATCTAGGCACATGCAAACAGGTTCTTAAAGGTGAAGAAATACAAGGTAGTTCAATAAAGAGATTTTGATCCTCACAAATTAGAGGGTTTCAAAAAACTACTTATTTTGCTAGAAGAGAGGTGTTGGATTAAGCTTAACAACGTGATTCAACAGACTAAAAAATAATTGGCTCGGAGGTAAATTTGGAGGCTTTCGAAGAACTACTTGTTATGCTAGAAGATACGTAAATTTTCGATTATATCGCCAATGCAATTAACACTTTACTTGATTTTCATCCTTCAGGGGTATGCAAAATCCAAAGAAGAAGGGATCATAATTAACAAGAAGCCAAATAATGAAGGGTGGGAAGCTATAAGCAGAGACGGATCCAGAAATTTTAATTAATGGGGTCAAGATTAATTTTTTTAATACAATTTACTTGTGTCTTTTTAATTTTTATTTTCTTTTTTAAAAAAAATAAAAGAAAATTAATAGTCAGATTTATGAGTAGATTCGTTCATGGCTATAAAGAAAGAATTATGCCAACTTAGAGTAGATTGGGTTGGTACTATTGACATTCCACAAAGGTTCATCACAATAAACATGCGTCCAATCCCAAAGGCACGCATCTCATTTGTTGACCTAAAATCAAGTGGATCTCTTCCTTATGCGATATTTACGTGGGTGAAGCTTTAGATTTACTTTCAGCACTCTGTTAAATTTATGAGAGTGATTATTGAAACATAGTTGAAGAAGAAGAAGATAGAAGAAAAAAAACTTTATAAGTAACTTCTAATTAAAAAAAATAATTACAAAAATTCTAATTTTATCTTAAAACACAAGTCCAATCTAAATCCAATTCAAATGAAAAATTGATTTTTCAGAAGCTACAATATTAAGCTTCTATGAGCCATGCAATAACATAGTGATTCTTTTTAGAGTATCAAACACAGGCTAAATTTCAATTAAATAAATTATTTAATGAATAGCACATAACTTTGTCAACATAAAAATATTTTAGAATATTTTAAAATCTTAATAGAGTAAATCCAGTTAAACATACTAAAACTCTAAGTTTACATCTGAACACAGTATAAATACAAGATTCTAATTTTCTGTTATTAATATTTTCTCTATCCACATGTCATGATGATTAGACATTAGCTTAGGTACTGTGTACAACGTAGGAGTATCGTATGTTGGAACTGAAACTTTGGGACCACCCTACATATCTCAGAATTAAATAACCAGCCAGAGCAAAACTCATCCACCGAATCCCTTTCTCATCTTCTCCATCATGTCACTACCACCGTTAACACCACCGTCGCTCGCAACTTCGTTCACCGCAAAGCCAACACAGCCACCGATACGGCAGATTCCGGGAAGTCACGGATGGCCATTGCTAGGTCCTCTCTCAGACAGGTTAGACTATTTCTGGTTCCAGAAGCCAGAAAGCTTCTTCAGAACACGAATGGAAAAGTACAAAAGCACCGTGTTCCGTACAAATATTCCTCCAACGTTTCCGTTTTTCACCAGCGTGAATCCCAACGTTATAGCACTCCTGGATTGTAAGGCTTTCTCTCACCTCTTGGACATGGAGTTGGTTGACAAAAAAGATGTTCTGGTTGGAGATTTTGTCCCTAGCGTTGAATTCACTGGGAATATTAGGGTTGGTGTTTACAGAGATGTTTCTGATCCTCAACATTCTAAGGTACATACTATAACATAAAGTTTCTTATCTCTTTTGATTATGAAGTTTCTAACTCAAGGTGTGATAATTATTTGATTCTTTTTGAGAAAAAAAATACATAAAGTAATGATGTTTGGAACCATATCCAAGAAGCTCCTGAGCTTCCGGAAAATTTACGGTGAAAGCACCTTGGGATCTGAGAAATATGTACACCAAAGCAAATCCAAACAAACTATTATGAAAGTAATAAAAAAATAATAAAACTTTTAACAAGCAACAAGAGTCGAAACTTTTACTGTCTTGCCCTTTTTTTTTTTATAAAATATCAGATACCCATTCATTTCAAATTAAATGTCAAATTTATTTTTGTTATAAAGGCGCTGCCCATTTAATGGGCTGCAGAGTGTAATTAGAATTTTTTTATATATTTTTATATAATTAATATTAATAATTAATATATATTAATTAATATATTTTTAATAAATATATTTTTAATTATAATTAATATAAAAATATTAATAATTAATATACAAAATTAATATATTTTCAATAAGTAATTAATAATTAACACTTTTTTAATTTTTATATATATATTATTTATATTAATTATTAATTAAAAATATATTTATTGAAAATATATTAATATTAATATATTAAAAAATAAAAAAATTACGAATTACACAGTGCCGCCTATTGAATAGGCGGAAGACATTTTTTTTCATACATTGTTGCCTATTGAATGGGCGACACTCTTATACCAAAAATATTTTTTTTTTAAAATAGGATAGTTTAGTATTTATTTTAAAAATGATAGATATTTGGTATTTTGTATCTAAAAAGGTGGTAAGAGAGTGAAAATTTCACAAGAGTCATGTTTTAATTTTCTGAAGTAAATTTGATTTATTTAAATAAAATTCTGCTTGAAGCAACCTATTGGATTCTCTATTCATGGATATTAAAAAAGAAAACTAATTATTAACAACAACAACAACATTAAATTAATTAAAAATTATTTATACTCAAGACCGCCATCTTTAATCTCTTAATTAATTATATTAATTTTAATGACAAAAAATATATTATTTACTAAAATATTTAATAGTAATTAGGGAGTAGTTACATAAATTGAAACATAATAATTAAAAAATAGTTAATAAAAAATAATCTTAAAATATTTTATTAATTTTTTTTTGAAAAAAAATATTTTACTCCAAAAAATCAATGGAGTACAAGCTGATGAAATGATCCAGACAGCCTAACAAAACACAAACCTAAGAAACTACTCAATTCCTTAACTTGTTATGGTTAGTACCCCTCACAATAATAGTGGATTGAGGTCTTTTGGGGGAAACATCATTTCCTTTTTAGCATGCCAAATATGGTAAATTGTTTCAGTAATTATCATTTTTAGAATATCTCTTCTCCCTCATGAATGAACCAATTATCCTCAATATTCTAATTGGATACAATTATCCTCAATAGAGCAAGTTTGACCCGATGTTCTTTGTGTACCTGCAATCAAAGAAAAAGTGATATAATATTTCTTGGTACTGACAGAAAATACATTTTTGGATACTCCAAACTTTTGCAACCTATCCTTAGTTGGCAATCTGCGGTGCCCAACCAAAAGTTGAACTTCGTTCTAATCCTGACATAATTCCTAATAAATATATGAAACAAATAATAATAGCAAATTGTTGAAGAGAAAATAATAAATAATAAATAATAAATACTATGTCTGTATCATAAAGAGATTATTATTTAATAATAAAAAATATATTAATATAATTGAATTGGATATAAATTACTTTTAAAATATATGTAGTTTAAAATTTTAAAAGTTTTTTTTCAATCTAAAATTTTTTATTTTTAATAATTTTAATGTGACAGTTTTTAAAAAATATATTTAGTGGCTAAAATTTTCTATTTTAAAAATATCTTGTATAATTACAAACTGAATTGATTTATGAAATTAACGTGACCGTTTTAGAACACATGTTATAATAAATATATTATTATTTATTGTTACTTTATTACCGTTTTTCTATCAAATCTGTTGAAAAGTATGCTACTCAACAGTTGTTGACTTGAACTTGACTTATCCTGCTCAACAAAATAATTAATTTTTTCAATAAAAAAAATTATAAAAAAAAAAAAGAAAATTTAAACATATGAAGATAAAAGATGATTATTTTATTTTCCAAAATTGTAAATTTTCTTATTTGAAATTAAAAATGGTGATGAAATGGAGACGATATTCTTATGTTTTAATGATTGTGATGTTATTAAGATAATGAATAATTCTTTAGATTTTTTTTTACAAAAAATATTTAATAAAATAAATTAATATTATAAAAAAAATGTAGCAAAAAATCCATTTTTAATTATTTGGAATTACTTTGTTCGATAACTTTTTATTTGATAGTTAATAATAAAATTTTATTTTTAAAAAATAAAAGTTTAAAAATAATACACAAACAATATAAAACAATATTATATGACAATCTATCAAAATCTCTATATTTAATAAGTATTTTAAAAATAAAAATTTGACCAGATATATATTCTTTATTAATTGATAATCTTACATTAACAATGTATATTTTATTTTCTCTAGAAAAATAATTAAGTAGAATTATACATATTAGAATCGACAACTCATACTTTTTATATAACTTTCAAATTAATTAATTTAAAGAAATTATTTTTTATTATTATTTAATTTAATTTTAAAATAATTCATTTATTTTATAATAAAAACAGAGAGAATAATACTGCACAGTATCGAGTTGGAAGGGTATGGACATAAATTACTTGAAAAACAAAAAGCTTTCGAAAAAAATAAGGTTGGATATTTATATATTGTTTTTGTCGGTACTAAGCACAGTGAAAGTCTTTTCAAGTTTGTTTTTTTTCCTTTGGAAATTTTCAAGTTAAATTTGACAAAACTTGACCTTAATGTTTCTTTGTGTAGGTTAACAAAGAAAAGGATTTTGATAAATTTGACTTTTGTCCCAAGATAATTAAAAATAAATAAATTATTTAATTGAATTTTTAGTTTTTTTATAATTAGTGGTTAAATTTATTTATACTTACAAAATAATATACATCTAGACTCTTATCTGAGTGATTTATATATTTTTTGGCTTGAAATTTTCAAAAGATAAAATAAATTTCTGTTTTTGAGTTTTAAAAAATTAAAAAACCTAAATTAATTTCTATTTTTAATTAAAAAAATTTCAAGAAGCAAAAATAGTAAAAAAACATAAATAAATATTCATGATAAATATATTTTAATTCAAGCAATTTGGAAAAGTATGTCTTACAATATTAAGTGATAAATAGAAGAAAATTATATTACGAAAATGTTATAAATCAAAGTTGTAGAAAATTGAAAAGTACCAAGGTCGATGAAGGAGGTCAGCACTGTAGTGGCAGAGGTCCAATGAATAAAAATGTGTGAATGGTTATGAGTTATGGAAAGTGAAATTCGGAGAATCAAATTTTCCTATTCACAATATATTACTTTTAGCAAGTCTTGGAAGATGAGGAATAGTAAATACTTAGAGATGAAGTATTAAGATATTATGGCGGAGAAAACTCAATTTGAGGTGTAGGTTACTGCTATGGATACTAGTAGTGATGAAGGAACGGATACAAAGGCATCTGATTATCAATTCACCCGTGATAAGGTAAATATGAAGATTATATCATCTGCAAGATACAATTATACTGACCTTAGCAGATATGCTTTGAATGTGGATGAAGAGTTGAAAAAACTAGAATAAAGACCTTCATAGAGGCATTCCAAAGTAGGTGGAGACAAATATAGTTGAAGAACCATCCTTGTGCGCTTCTTAGATTACCTTAGCATGAAAAAGGTGGTTAAAAGCAAGTGGATGCAAATGAAAAAATCAAGGTTCAAGTGTGACATGAATTTGATCAAGGCTGTTGAATAATAATTTCAACATGGTGGACAACAACAACATGGTTGATTAGTAAATTTGTATCACCACGGTTATAAAGTAAAGGTGGAGAATTGTAAAAGTATAACTTAAAACCTGAAGAGATGAAAATAAGAAAATCCTATTTCAAGATTGTCAAATAACAAAGTTGTAGAAAGTCGAGAAGTAGCAGAAAGATTAACGAAGGACGTCTGAACAACAATACGGCAGATATATTGGTAACCAAAAGAAGTCCCATATACGACAGAGCTCTGGAGGTGAGTGAAAGGGGAGTGATCGGCTCTAGGAAACAGGCGGTCCTTATGCCTTAGTCTGATTTTGGCATTTCGCCAGTATCATGCTTGGTCGTTTTTGTTCGTAAGTTCGTTCATTGATGAATCATGTTTTAAGTCGTTATAAACTTGTTGGATTTTAGCAGTTATAAATATGGTTCTCTCTCTTTCTTTTTAAAATAACCTTTTGACTGTAGTCTAAAAGATAGAGGGAATATGTGTCAATCTTAGTTTTGAAACTTAGAGATGCAATAATATAAATTTCGTGGAATTCTTCGCATTTGAGAAACTGTTGGAGGTATCTAAAGGAATTGAGGAAGACTTCTAAACACTTTGAACTTGTGTGATTCATATAAAGAGAAAGTGATTTGATGAAATTGAGAAATACTTAGGTATAAAATAAAGTTTGTTCTTGGGAACTTCAGTGACTATTTTCTATGTAATTTTTTTTGTACTCTCTTGTAACAATTTTTATAACATAATGAATCACATATATGTTTTCTCTTCATAGTAGATCGGTTTGCTGGAATTGGAAAAAACAAGTTTATTTGTATTCTTATTTTTTATTTACTTGTTTTGGATTACTTACACATTTTGATAGATTATTTTGTTGCTTGAGAGCATTTGTCTTGGTAAATATTGTTCTTTGTCCACACATCAAATTTTTTAGTATATTTAAAACTATAAACAAATTCATTAGAATTGTTAAAGTTTTTGTAACATAATTCACACCATTAAGTTTGTAAAATAATCAAAATATTACAAATATATAATGCATTTGTTTGATATTACTTTTTAATAATAGTGGTAGCTTTTCGTGAATTCTAGTTAGAGTGATTATCATTGGTGATCAAAATGATGATTTTCGATGATCAAAATAATGATTAAAGTGGTAGTATGAGATGGCTATTGATGGTCAGTTAGGTGATCAAAGATAGATGTCTCGGTCATAAGTGGTTGTTGGAGTGGTGGTTAGAGTGATAGTTGGTGGTGATGACTAGTGCTTATATTGGTGATCAGAGGTGGATGGAATGGTGATCAACGGTGATAATTAATAGTAATTTACGATGGTGGTTAGAGTGATAGTCAGCTGTGTTGATTAATGCTCATATTAGTGATCAGAGGTGGATGAAATGGTGGTTAGCGATAATGATTAATATTAGGTTACGATGGTGGTTAGAGCGATAGTCGGTGGTATTGACTAGTGCTCGTATTAATGATCAGAGGTGGATAGAATGGTAACAATAATGATAGTTAGTGTGGTGATTGGTGATGGTTAGAGTGTCACTTAACAATGATTTAGTGGTTGGTTATCAATTATCAGTCATATTAAATATGTAAATAAAATGGTGATTGAAGGTGATAATAGTGGTAGTTTTAAGAATAATAATAAATATAATTCAATAATTAATTGACAACAAAATATGATTCCCCTCTTTCTTAAGGATTGTGAATTATTAATCTGTACGGAGTCGCATGGAGACAAATTGTTAAAGTATGCTTCCATGAGAAATCAATAAAAGTATAAAGTATTGATGTTTACTTTTTGCTTTTGTTGGTACTAGGAAGGTGAAACGTCTATTCATGTTTGTTTTTTTTCTTTGGTGGAGGTTTTCAACTTTTTTTCATTGTTTTCAAGTTAAATTTGATATAGTAAAACAATGATGCGTCATTATATATTTTATTGAGTTTGATAAAAAATAAAATAAACAAAAAAAATCGACAATTTGATGCAGTCAAAGAAGTTCTCCATGCAAGTATTGAAAGAAAGCTCAAGCATATGGGTACCCGAACTGGTTACAAATCTAGACATATTTTTGGACCAAATTGAAGCCACATTGTCCACATCTTCATCAGCAAGTTACATGTTCCCGCTACAACAATTCTTGTTCAAGTTCCTCTTCAAAGTCCTTGCTAGAGCCGACACTTCCCTCGACCCGAAAATCGCAGAATCCGGCTACTCCATGCTCAACAAATGGCTCGCGCTTCAGCTTCTTCCTACTATCAGTATTGGCAAAGTGCAACCCCTTGAAGAACTCTTTCTTCATTCCTTTTCTTATCCTTTCTCTCTTGTGAAAGGAGATTACAACAACCTCTACAACTTTGTTAAGCAACATGGTAATGTTTTTTCTATCCTTAACTGCATACATCATATATGATAGTAGTTTTCAATCAAACAGTGATAATAGTTTTTACTTATACGGTAAATTTTGTTAATTTTGTTATAGAGATATGTAGATATATGGATATGTAGTATAGAATTATCTGACCTGACATCGTTAAGTCAGACACCGCGGTGTCATTTGATATTTACCTATGTTTGATGGGCGATAAATAAAATTGATAACAGGTAAGGAAGTGGTAAAATGTGGAAAAGAGTTTGGATTGAATGAAGATGAAGCAATCCACAACTTGCTTTTCATTTTGGGTTTCAACTCATATGGTGGATTTTCAATTTTCCTTCCAAAGTTGATAAACACCATAGCGAACGACTCAACCGGTTTGCAAGAGAAGCTAAGAAAGGAAGCAAGAGAGAAATGCGGTTCAACTCTCGGGTTTGAATCGTTGAAAAATTTGGAGCTAATTAACTCAGTGGTTTACGAAACCCTGCGGATGAACCCGCCAGTTCCGCTTCAGTTCGGTCGAGCCAGAAAGGATTTTCCGCTCAGTTCAAATGACTCGGTATTCAATGTAAAAAAAGGTGAGTTATTATGCGGATATCAGAAGCTTGTAATGAGGGATCCGGCGGTGTTTGACGAACCGGAGAGTTTTAAACCGGATCGGTTCACTAAAGAGAAAGGGGCCGAGTTGTTGAACTATTTGTATTGGTCTAATGGACCGCAATCTGGTTCGCCAAGCGTGGCCAATAAACAGTGTACCGGTAAGGACATTGTGACCTTCACTTCAGCCTTAATTGTGGCACACTTGCTTCGTAGGTATGATTCAATTAAAGGAGATGGTAGTTCCATAACTCTCTTATCAAAGGCCAAATGAAGAGTTTTTGGTTTTCAATGAACATGAGCATTTGTTTGTGATTTTATCAATGACAGATTATGTATTGTATCTGTTCAAAGAATACTTAGAAAATTATGATTAGAACTTGATACCTTTCAAGATTGAAGAAGTCACTTTTACAATGAGAAAAACATGATAACCAAAATGAGAAAAACATGATAACCAAAATGAATATTAGTATCATTCAATTAGCAAAAGTGCCACTACATAAGTGAACAAATAGAAAAGCTAGCACCATTGATTTCCATATTGTGGAAAATGGTATCCCATATTTTCCTTTCCCAAAAAGCCCCTTTAAAAATGGCAAGTAGCATAAAACCACATAAGCACTACAAAAAACTTCCCCTACTCCAAATCCTTCACCACTCTTGATTAGTTTCCATCCCAAACAACTCATAAAAAGTGCACTGAGTTGAACAAACAAAATTGTAGTCCCCGGTAGAAAAATAAGTGACTCATTGAAAATGAACCTACCAATATTTTCATTGGAACCGTCGTTGTTAGAAGGTAGTTGTTCTTTCTTTGTTATTTCAAAAACGGTGTCCGATATTCTCAGTTGCTTCAGTATGATAGTTAAAAATCCCAAAAAACAAGAGTTCATGGTTGTTATTCTTCCCATCCTTTGATTGTTCCACCATGTTCGGAATGATAATCCTGATTTTATGTGCTCGGATAAAGTAGATATGTTGTATATCGCAAATAGAGTTACAGGGATCCACATACTGAGTTCCTGTCAGAGCATCATTTACACATTATTGAAGAAAGATTGAAACAAACAAAAATTCTATATATAATCTAAATCATGCTACTAACCTTGTTAGGCAAGAAACTGGAATTGGTAATAATGCAATAGGCAGGTAGAAGGGCATAACAAATTTCAGGGAGAGATCTTAAGGCCCAGTTAGTAATCCAAATATATGCCAAACACTCTCTGAATTGGAGCTTACCAAATAGGGTACCGAAAATTGGACAATGCTTGCTAAGAAAGATATCAAACAACCCGGAGGACCATCTCTTATGTTGGGCCATTTGGCCCAAGTTATCTTGCGGTGAACAGCCCATAAAGGCTATCGGGTCCGGTGAACAAAGCTCGGATCTCCATCCTTTTGTGTGAAACTTAAGCCCGGTTAATACATCCTCCGATGTTGATCCATATAACCATCCCACCTAATATACCAAAAGTTAACATAAGAAACACTAACTAGCACATAAATACAAATCAGACGCAGACGCAACTAGAGAGACTAATCCTCTGAGTCAAGCATGACTACAATGCATAACAAAACCATGTTGCATTATCAGAAGTGAGTTTGAATTTCTGACCTGTTTACCCCAAGCAGTATTGTATTCATAATCACAACTAGCAACTTTGCTTGCATCTTCAAAATCAAGAGATTTGTAAAGATCAAATGCAGTCCCTTTCAAAATATGAGTAGCTGAGGCATTAAATCCCTTTGAGGTTCCAAATATTTGGACTGTTTCTTTTTCTGATAACAATGTTCCTGCACAAAAGATTACTATATCATAATAATATTCATTTTGAAATAACCAAAAAAACATAGTAAATATATCTTAATACCTTTGGTGAAGCCATGATCCTTGTTCGCATTTTGAATGTCATGATTAGGAGAAAGACCATAAATAACTTTTCTTCTATGAAAACAATTTGTTCCTGCATATATAATCCCTTGAAGTCCAGCAAATCCACCTCCTATGTACTATAATAGATAAAAACAAGAAATGATTATTTGTTTATTTATTGTTAGTTAACTTTTTCAGAAGGAAAATTTACTCACCATAGGCAAAGCCACAAGCTGATTTCCATAAGCATCATCTTTTACAGCATCATAGAATCTCTGTGGACATTGAGCAAATGCAACTTCTTTTTCTCCTTTTGAATCCAACAAAATGCAGAGTGCATGTAGTACAATCTTAGGGTTATTCACATACATGTCACAATCTAAGTTCAGGATAAACGGAGCATTTGTCATCAATCCAGAGATTCTTGTCTGCACACAACACAAATCATTTGAACTTTTAGATCAAAATCAAGTAAAATGTACAATTTCTAACCATATATTTGATATTTGTCTTACCAAGACATTCATTGCACCAGCTTTGTGATGATGCGAGTGCTTCGAACTCTTCTCTCTAGAAATGTAGACTATGCGAGGCATCGTATCAGAACGACCTTTGTTTTCTCTAATCACCTGTCAATAGAAATACATTCAGAATGTACTAATGTGTTACACATAAATCTAATCAAATCCCTTATATGATGAATGTTTATGTACCTTGATTATAGTTGGATGATTTTTAACTTGTGTTTCTGAAAATACAGAAAATTCTCCCATAAGCTGACATGGAACTGACTTTTCCGCTGCATTTTCAATTCTACTGCTAAGTTGTTCATACTCTTCCTTCATTTTCAACCAATCTTGTTTGAATTCTGGCAAATCTTTGTTATCCACGGCTTCATCGCAGAAGTATCTAAAAGGCGCTCTACATTGTACATTGTACTTCTTACAAAAAGGTACCCAAAATTCGGCAAATTTCGTAGCTTCTTGAAGGGCATAAAAGGTATGAGGTGAACAACCATCATCAGAAACATAGCAAGCTAGCTTGTTAGAAGGGTAATCAAGTGCCAACAATGACAAGACTGTGTTCACTGTGATTATCGGCGGTTCAAGAACTGGATCTGCTGTTGTCACAAACAAATCCAATGCTGGAAGCTCAGATTCAGATATCCTTTTGAGAAAAACAATACAAACAGTTAGCAAAATCGAACATTAAGTACTGAATTCGAAGCTTTCGTGTTCATCAATTTACACACATTCACGCAATCAGTACATCAGTAGTACTAGCAGTTGAATCAGCATTGAATCAAGATTGAATCAAGATTGAAACTAGTGAAAAATGTATCGATATACCTATGCGAGAGACGATCGAGGAACGTTTTGGTACGAGCCGGAGTCCATTTGGTGCTCATGGTGGTAATCCAAGTGATGGTAAACCATGATTCACATAGAAATGCAACAAGCCAAGGGAAAGTGTGGTGGTTAACATGTGATGAAACTCTGTAACCAAGAAGCAAGAGAAGGAGGAGCAATATCAAAGAATCCATAACTCTTGAAAATGTGTGTTTGATCCATATTTTTTCATACAGAGGGAGGGAATTTTGTTTGGCCATTGAACAAAATCACATGAGAAAGAGAAAATTTCTAAACCCAGTCCTCTATTATTGTATCACACTCGTGCTTCATGCTTTGGAGAAACAACTACTTGTACCTTTTAAAGGCAAAAATTTGAATTCTTAAGCATTTTCATTCATTTACTAATTCCATTGATTTTTACACTGTTATAGATATATTTAATTAGAATATTTTAAACTATCAAATTATAATAGTATTTTAAAAATAAAAGTAAGATGTGCGGATATTCTATCTTCTTTTTTCTTTAATCTATTATTGTTGCCGAGATTGATTTTCTTATATTAATATTTTAGAATAGAAATTTGAAATTGTATGTTAATATCTAAACAAGTGAAAATTAGTCTTCCAGTACAATGACACCCGTGATCTATATATACAAACAATATTTTGAAAGGATCAAAGTTATATATACTTTAGGTCAAATAAATACAATATATTATTTTTGTAATAATAAAAATGGTTGCAGAAAAAATCTTAATATCTTATCTTATCGCAAGAACGTGGCGCTGACGAATATAAGTATACTAGAAGAATGGGTTGGTATCTCTTTTGCTTCTATGCACATTCTATTGAAATTTTGTTTTGAGTTTTGAATCAATCTCTATAAAACCGATTTAGATTTGTTGTAAAGTGAATGAGATCGATTGTATAGGTAATGCTGTCAAAGTAATTAATTTAGGTCTTTAAAAATATAAATTTTGTATTTAATAAATGGGTTTTTTATTCTACTATTTTAACATTGAAATGAATAAAGTTATTTATAAATAAATAAATATAGATTTAATTTATATTTTGTGTCAATCAATCATTATTTTTTTTTCTTTTTCCTTTTAAAAACAGACCAAAGGCATTTTTTCAGGGCTCCTGTCTTTAATGGCATGGGGGTAAGATACAATTTGGGGAATCTTTCTTCTGTATTTTGTTTAGGACTTTAAGAGCATACTGGGCCATAGGATGTCTACAGCATTATTGATAAAATTTGGGAATATTATATTTCACTTGAAAAATCTCTTATAAAAAAATAAAAATATCCTTTAGATTTGAAATATATCTTTAGACGCACACATAATATATTTTGAAAATATATTTTTGGAAGTGAATAAAACTTAGATCCTATGATTACTTAATCAATTTAAAACAATGTAATGCACTTTATACTAAAATACTATCGCTGAAAGTAACAACTCATTAAACCAATATGTCTATGAATTTGTTCTTTTAAACTGGCTATGACTTTAAAGTTTCAAATGCAATTTTAAAGACTTTTGTGACCTGATTGTTCTCTTTGAAGAATATGAAATAGGTTATATAGTTTCACATGCATTTTGCATTAAGTTGATTAAATTAGTATTTGTGTTTTACTATTTAAATTGATATATAAGTGTTTTTTTTTAAAAATGTATTTTCGGAGATATCTAAGAAATGCATTTTTAAAATAATTTAAATAATAAAATTGAGGTGTAGCTAAAAAACAAATGAACTTTGTATGCATTAAGAAATTTAGAGATATTTTAGTATTTTTACATGGTACCTAAGTAATATATAGGGTACATTAAGAAACTTACAAATATTTTACCACGTATCCTTTTATTTATCCCTCTATCCCTACAAATTATGAATTTGGACTAAAATACCCCTGTATAAATACTTAGACTTTAAAAATTTTCACTTTTTTCTCATTTTATTTTAGAGAAAGTAGAAGCACATGAAAATCGAAAATCAGATACCAAAGATACCCGTTTAGATAACGTACTAGAGAACACAAGT